GTGTCTTGCTGAAATACCCTTGACAAATTTGCAATAATTGGAAGAAAATCTAACAAAAAATAGAGCATCTTCAGGAAAGATGACGATCTAATCGCCTTTAAATAACCCATTGCGCGGTTTGCATCATCGCTCGATTACCAGCAGTATAATTGTGTTCTAAGTGTTTTACAACTGTTACAATATTTACCGCTAATGACTTCACTGCGCGTTCTTTACTTGCCAACCAGCGAACTTGTTTGACTGACGAGAAATGTGCTAAGTCCGTCTCAAATATATTGGCAATCTCCTTAAGTTCACGTCGACGCTTCAGAGAATAGTGGTAAAAATGAAATATCCCCTTTAATGTGGCCTCGAAGTCTGATATTTGTTTCACAGTTTTACAATCGTCCAAAATCGCCAATTCCAACTTGTGCGCCACACAATGAATACCAATAGATGACGGGATAACGTCTTTTATTTTCGTGATGACACCCGTCTTCTTTCCCATATTCACGGAGGCACCATCAAAGTTTGATGATATAAGAGATGTTTTTTTTTTCTCCCTATCAGGGTTGAGATCGTCCAAATTTAAATCAACACTTGATAATCCATTCGTCAAAGCATCAAAAAACCCCTGTGATGTGGCATTTTCTACCGATGTAATCGCAACCTCGCGGGTGACAGGTAACTTGTTACGTGGCCCAACATAGCGTACATAGGTAATTTCCTGTTCAATAATTGATTTGTCGGTACTACCGTCGCCAAGAACACTGATAAAATTCACAGTCTTTATTTCTTTGGAAATGTCCTTTCTTAATGTTGAAGCAATGTGTTCCATAAATTCCGTACAGCCATAACTATTAACATAATCCATTTTTCTTTTGAATACCACAAATAAATTTGAAGTCAGAAAAAGGCTTTCCTGCTTTGGCAACCGCATATGCGGTGGTGAATAAATATCTCATTCGGTCTTGGTTTTCTTTACCCATTCGCGTGAAGGATTTGACGATACAAGTTTCAAATACATTTTCCTGTGACACTGGCGTTGCTGCTCGACCATCTTTATCTCTCAAGAACTGTCGGCTACAGGATAAGTGTTCGTTGGTAACATCGTGAGAACGTAGCGAATCGAGTTTCAAATTAGTCGTTCCTTTCACTAAGGCACTTGACTTATCAGATGACAGCGGATAGTTTCGGCAATATTCACAGAACATAGTACATGTATTCGTAACTTCATCGTAGCATACCCAAGGAAATTCAGTTGTCCAATGTGACTTGAAAGTCCAAACACGTTTCTCACGATCGTATTTCTTGTCCTTCGTCAAGTTCGCGAGTTTCTCTGGTTCACTATGACTTGATGTCACATTGTACTTCTGTTTTTAGACGGAACTTCTTCTGTCTCATGGTCATCACTCCCTTTAGATTTTTTAGTTTGACTAAACCCAAAATCAAACAAACTGCTACTCATGGCTGCTGTACACAAATAATGTTTGCGCGTGCAGGATTCATTGTATTGCTGTCGCGCACAAAGTAGGCTGACATCATTGATGTTTCCGCGCGCTATATTATTGACCAATTACAGTCTGCGTAAGAAAACGGAGGACGTCACTACGTTCCATGTAATAAACTCAGTTTTGAGACTACGAATATCAGGACTGTTTTTAGATTAAATTGTTATATGCAGACACTTTTATTATTTTTTATCTATAAAATCAATGGTCCGATGGACTTTAATCCAGAGGTTTGTCAAAGTAATTTATGAGTCCCGGACCTCGGACCACCGTATTCTTCAATCCCTGATTCATGATATGGTGAATTTGTAGTCGCCAATCGCGATTCTAGCGCGATTCAATCGGGGTCAAAGGGCAGGAATTTCTTTGTTAGCAGCTGTCACTCTGTTTTACAAAACTTTGCATTGATAGCTCTGCCTATTTTGTAAATATAAGTTTTGAATTGAATATGCCTGAGCCTTACAGATTTCGAATTTTATGAAGGGTCAGATGTTAACACAGTACACTTCAAGAAGGAATAATCGTTCTTCGAGGATTTCTGAACATTGTGTTTGTTATAACCTGGCAAAAATGGAAATGCATGGAAATATGGTGAATTTACCAAGATCAAAAGGGACAACAGTGTGTGAAGACCGGACAATTTTGCGGATCAGTATGCAAGATCGGTTCAAAACGCACCAAGAATACGCAATGAAATGGAAACTAATTACGGGAAAAATATTAGTGTTTTCACTGTGCACCAACATTTATGTGAAGTAAACATGAACGCGTATGTGGCATAGAAAAAACCTCTACTGAAACACCAGCAGAAACAAGCACGAATTGTCTTTGAAGATTGGAGTTGAGTGATGTCGTCAGATGAATCAAGGTTTAAGCTATTTTGCAGCGATGGCCACGTACATGTTCACTGGCGACCATGCAAAGCATACTGCGACAACTGTCTTGTACCAACTGTAAAATATGGCGATGACATTGTTATGATATGGGGGATGTTTCAGTGCTAAAGGTGTTTGACGTGTGTAAATGTGATGAATGTCTCAACCAATTTGGATATCTCAATATTCTAGAGAATCACATGATACCGAGTGAACATGAGACTGTGGCACCAGATTTTCTGTTTCAGCATTACAATGCACCTATTCACCTTGCCAAGCTAATGATGATATGGTTTGATAACCCCCATGTCATTTGATAGTATGGAAGTGATCGCCTGGCCATCGATAGAAAACCTGTGGAACCAAATTGGGAGTGCTGTACAGGGGTGTCATCGTCATGTGACACAGTTATCTCGCGCGGTACACAGCAGTAAAAAAAGAATTTGAAAGTGTACCATTAGTAAAATGCCAGAAACTTGTCAGATCGATGCCATCAAGAATGCAAGCTGTCATTCGAAACATTGGTGGAGCTACACACGTGTTTTGGTGTTTATTTACTTGATTCATTGACCTCTTAATCACTTTACATAGAAAAAACCCATAGCCGTGTGTTGAAAGCAATACTATTTCTTTTGTTTTCGGAGTGTTGTTATAACAAATTATATATCATTTGCTATCTAAAATCACAAACTTTATTTCTGCGGAAAAAAATCAATTTCTATTAATCCGTTAGAAAAATATGTAAATTAGTATAAAATTTTGACGCCAATACTTGTAATGTATAAGGTACAATAATGTCGGATCGGTTTGCGTGACATTTTTCATTCCAAGCGACTGTGCTCAATCATTGCAATGTGTATACTCTATAAGATTGATATCAATTTCCGAAATGAACGATGAGCGAAGAGTCAGTGAAAATCAGGAACTCAACTTTGAAGTAATCTTGAACAATCAAATTTATATATGTTACACACACAGGGGTAATCTTGTTACACTGTTCAGGGGAGTCTCAACAACCATCCCAGACTACCTTTTTCTGAGAGTTTTCGGCTTTTGTTTTCACCGTGATTGTTGCCAGGCGGTGAAAATGCCTGGATGTCCACCCCCGAGAACAGTGGACTTTAGTCACTGTACATGTATGTCCATGTCCATACAAACACTTGTTTGCCAACTGACTGTAAAGATTACATTTCGTAGTATAGAAATGATGACTTATATTGTATACATTTAACTAGTTCTTGACATTTTTAAATTAGTTTCCGGAATTTACATATTCTGACGTAATCTATGGATTCCGGAAAAAAAAAAACAGCTTACCGGTACTAAACTATTTTTTGTTGTGTAGTGCGCCCTCAATGTTTTGTTTTACCGAAACTAGAAGAATTGAGAAGAAAATTGTTTAATCAATTTTTCAAAGCTAGTATCTAGGCATGTACTGATTATGACAATGTGACAAGGTTGACGAGTGCTTTAATTTGAGTGTGCTTGGAATCGCTGTCACTTTTTTAGTAACCGTGTTGTCACACACCACGAACTCGATCGTTAAGCGTTATCATTTTTTTTTTAGCCCACCCTCTTATCTTGCCCAGTTAATTTAACCGCCATAACAGATCTATGTTCAATAAATTAAATCAATATCTAATAAAATTGTTAATACCTGTTGCACAACTGCAAAAGAAGAGGCAAAACCTTTTCTCACGACACCAAACATGCTTACCGGATCTTTTTCAATCACTTCCGGTGTCAGAGGTAATGAAGTAACAATCTGAACCGTGATGGCGCACCATACACGACTTTTCACGAGCACTGTACATTTCTACACGATGTTTATTATAAATGAAATTTCTTAAACAGTAGCTACGAATAATAGGTAATCAGGCTAGGTAAACTGATAATTTAGATTAAATCATGCAACAACCTTAGAATCTAGCTTTTGATTTGCCC